AGTGAAAAGAGGCTCTCTGGAAAAGTGAATAACCAAACTTTTGCACAATGTAATAATAAATGTTGTAAGGCAGTTAAGGAAATTGTATTAATCAGCTTAGGTAGCTAACCATGTCAAACTGTAATTTTGCATGGAGTGAAGGTGCCGCTTKCCATGCTGTTAACTGATTTATTAACAGGAGAGTTGGTTGGCTGCTGGCTGACCTGAGGGCTCACAAGGGGCTGCAGCTCTTTTCTGTGTTAATCCTGAACCAGTGGGATCAGAGCAGGGTGGRAAGATACTTTACTCTTTCCAGTCAGCTGCTCCCAAAGGCACCTGGAAGAAGTGCTGGGTGAGTTGCTTTGGGCCTAGTTTGTCTGGACCCATGCAAAAAAGTCTTTTGATACTGAAAAACTCTGTGAACAGGTGTTCTTTTGCAGTTCCAGCTGTGCTGTTGAAATAGACTGCTAGCCAAAACCCTTGATCACTTCTCTTGCCTATGAGTGTGAGCGTAACAAATTTCTAATATATTTCCAAGGAGAACTACAGTAACTAAAATATGCTGAGTCGTTTGGTCCTTGCTAACTTTAACTGCCTTGGGATAGGGAGCTCTAACAAGAGTAGCTGCAGCTGCTCTGAGTGAGTAGCTGGCAAGCAACAACACAGCTGTATGCAAAGTGCCTCCGTCCACATCCTTACTGTCTTTGCGGCTGCAATTAAAGGTCTGACGATACTGCCTTGTCTGATTCCCAAGTAATGCCAGCTCAGCRTCAGGTGGCCATTGCCCACATCTGCAGTCAGCACCAACCTGGAAGACCTTGTCAGAGCTGAGCTGCACTTGCTGCTTTTGCTGCGCTGGTACAGGGCAGAGCGAAAACAAGGGAGGGCTTGGGTCATCCTATTGACCTGAGGCTTGTGCCTCTCATTACAAGACCACACTGTCCAGCAGCTTTCTTTGTCTCCTCACTTGCTGCCAGTTGTGCTTAGAATTTGTTTTCATGATTTCTGTCCAGCGATTGCTGAAAACAACCAAGACCTAGAGTTGGACCTCTTTTTACCTGCTGAAACACTTGAAGATAATTATTCATGCATGGTTGTTTGTACTACAAAGTTAAGAGCAATTACTAATGGGTCTACTCTATAGGCAGCTATAGAGTGACGTCAGTCTTAGATGAAGTGATATTTTCACATATGTCAATAAGCAGAGATTAAACAGGCACAAAACCAAATTACCCAATRAACATTGATCCATACCACTGTTCACAACACACAATTACACTTAGGGATTACCTGAATTCCAAACTCTTACACTGTAGTTGTTTTATGAATTGGTTTTGAATTACAGTAAGCCAGTAAGTGAGAATTAAATTTAATAGAAGTTTTCAGTGTAATTCGTTCTGCACTTGTATCTCGATATATTTGAATTATGTAAACAGTGGATTAGGCTTGTTTAGAATTCTGAATCCCTTTGCCTTCAAGAAATGATGTTCAGTGTGTAATCTCTTCAGCAGGACTCAAGAGGGGATATAATTTCATCCACACCTGTGATGTAAGTCCAGCATGAGCAGTTTTAGCGTAGTTTTATGGTCAGTAACAGGCTATGATTAAGCTTATAGTGGCATTAAGGATAATATTAATCTCTATTCCAGTCACCTTGTGTGTCTGACTGTATCTCTGTGTTATGTCCAGGAAGTTAGTATTTATGTGTTTGATGTCTTTCCTTCAGCTGAGCTCCACAAGTTCTGCTTTGATCCAGGCTTTAAGAAAAATAAAATTCTGTCTTTCACACAAAAAACTAATGTAATGAAGTCTTTGAATACTTGTAACTTGTCATCACCATTTAGGAAGTAAATTGGTGCTCATTTAGCTTGCGTAAGACAGATAGCAGCTTCACTTAGGAAAGAGTGTCATGCCCAAGCCAGCAAGGGCTGACTTCTTCAACAGCCTTTAGACAGACAGATGCATAACAGGCATTTTTTAGGCATTTTTTTCATTTAACCACAATTTTGKTGCTTAAAGGTGATTCTAAATATTCTTGTTGGTGCCTAAGAGACCTTTGAAATACCAGTCTTTAGCCACCACTTTGTAATTTGCTATTTTGAATTGATAGCATTGTATTTGCATTGAAATATGTCACCTTCTTGTTAAAGATAGTACAAAAGCTTCAAAGATATGGACTGACTTGCATCTGGTTTTCGCTGTAAGGAATAAGTGTCTTTAAATTGGCTGATAGAGTTCACAGCTGATCTACAGCTGAAGAACAAAACATGGAAAGAATAGTCTAGAATCGCTAGTGCTAACAACAGCAGAGTGATAAAAGTGTTTAAAGAGAATTTCTTTCAGATTCAATGGTCCTTAGGGAGAGKTGGCAATTTTTTTCTCCCAGCTGTTCATTTTGGATATTTGTGGGCAATTAGAAGGTGTTTTTATGCATTTCTTAGATGGAAGCTTGCTCCAGTGTCTGTTAAATCCCAAACTGGAGTATGAACATCTGTGTGAAGGTGATAGTATTAGCCATGGTTGATGCAAAATTTTTTCCTACTTCTTAGTGTATATAAAGTAAATAAGATAATCGTAAAACTTTTTCACATTTCCGAATGATAAAAGAACTGCGTGTCAGTGTGCCTGTGGCAGTGAAGTACTCGTCTTCTTGACCTGATGCTCATATTTTATTTGCAGTCCCGTCATGGTAGCTCTGGATGATTGGTTGGTATGGGATTTGCTGCTGGTGTCATGGCAGTGCAGCCCCTCCTGCTGTCCACTGACCTGATGGGCTTTCACTGAATCCAGCTTTGTCTTGTGTGAGATGGAGAGCAGTCACTGGGTCCTGYGCATTGTTGTGGTGGAATAGGGAGCTATGGCATTTGGATTTGTTAATCATGCAGCATTTTTTATCATTTGCTGAAAAGATTAATACTACTTTTGTAGCCCTGATCTAAATATAGTATGCTATGGGAAAATTGAATGTAAGACTCATCAATTTAATTCAAATGACCTATTGAAGTATTTGTGTTGTAAAGCACAGTGCTTTGAAGACATGGAGTTTTAAGTACGTTAAAAGAAAATGKTTTTTTYCCATTCCTCTGACCAAGGCATTAATGAAAACATGGTTTAGATAGTTTGTCTAGYTGTTTGTGTATTCCTGTTTTATGTCTGAATATTCAGATAGGCAGTCAAGGAGAGTTAGATTTCCTGGTAATCTGGCAGTAATCCTGGTAGGAATTAGAGGACATTTCTCCATTGAATCGTTCCTAAGGAATATACAAACATAATACAAAAGCTGTTCAGATAATTTAAATGACTCAACTGTCACCTGCATTCTCCAGGCTAGGGAAGGTGGAAGTGCAGCTCTTGCTGCTGCTATTGCTTCTGCTGCTGGCTCTAYGAGCGTTGCAGACTAGGTGACTAGGTGAGTCTTCCCACGTTTATTTAGGTAGCTGCCAATTAAATTATTTTGTGGACTTGTAGGTAAGTCAGTCTACAGTATGATTTGCTGAAAGCAGCATACATTAAAAATGTTAATTTTCTGSTACTGTGAAAAAAGATTACTCATGTGATGGTAATACTGCTTTTCTTGATGAGCAGGCTAAGCAGCGTGAAGAGTTAGTGTAACACAAGTTAAGTTCAAAACTGTAGTTAAAGATTTAATTGAATATGTGTAAATGTCTGTGCATTAGCTAAAGGTCTTAATTCAAAACTGTATTGAAGTTGCTCAAAGAAGTCTTTCAGCAACAACAACGGCAAAAAAATTGAGTCATCTAATGCTTTTATCTGTAATCATGCAATTAAGCTCATGTATTATGGTACCAACTATAAAACATGGACCAAACAAATACTGGTTTGCTCTAGCTCTACATTTATTACAGTAGCAGTAGCTCATGCACCATAGCTTTCTGCATCAAAACTGCTGGAGTCTTCCTTTTTCAGTGAATCTACAAAGCCACAAAATAATGTAATTGGCAGGTAACTAAGAATATGTGTGAAAACTCACCTGTGGATAAACAGCAGCACTCCCACTGCCAGTCAAGGGATCTGTGAAGGGATCAATCAGAAACTTTTGATAAGTTCTGAGGAATTAATCGTGATCTTGTTCTTGTTAGATGCTTTTGCCTGGTATAACGTTAACATAATCTTGAACTCTTAAAGTTCAAGTTTCTTCAAGAATCTTGAACTCTTAAAGCATTACTGTGGAGAAAAAGAAACAATAGTATGTATCTGTATTTGCATAATATGTATATTAATATAAACACATGTGTCTAAAATCTGTTGAGTATTTACTTTAATAAACTACAGACGAGATACCTGCCCTTTTCTCTCAAAAACTACAGGGCATATATGTCTTAATTTCTGTGGATACAGTCTCATTGTCTTGCAGTCTCTTGCTCAAACCCAGCAGTATTGTTCAAGTGGAATTTGAAGGTTTTGTGTATTTGTCCAGAATTGCCAAACATCTGAATTCTGCTCTGAAGAGCTGTTTCAATTGCACTGCTGTCTATTTGGCAATCTCAAGCATACTTGCTGTGTGTGTTTAATCAGACTCCACAGCGCATGCCTGGAAATTCTACATCTCCAGTAAACATTGGATGGAGCTTGTGTGCATAGTATGCTCTAAAAGCCTGAAGCTCTGGACTCACTGAACCCATAGTACTTTGTGCATAAACAYGAATTCTGGATAGGACTGCTGCTGCTCTGCCAAAAATCCTGGATCTTTCTTTGAACAAAGTTTTCCAAGGTCTTCAGTTTTTCCAAAGACTTAACTTCCTACATCTGTGCCTTGGCCATGAAAAAATAGCYTGAAATTTATTTCCCCCTCCCCACCCCAAACATACAAAGCATTCATCTGCCAAAATCTATCAGCAGGTTTTAAAATGTCAAGCATTTTTTAAGTCTTTCCTAGATGTGTGTGGTCTTATATACATATGCTACTTATATGTGTATACCCRTTGGGCTATAAAATAAACTATCATAGTAGATGACCAAGTTTTAATTGTCTGACTTGAATGTKTGTTTATTTTCAACAGGCAGAAATCCTCAGTGTGCTCAGTCACAAAAACATCATTCAGTTCTATGGAGCTGTCATTGAACCTCCAAATTATGGCATAGTTACAGGTAAGGACTTTTGTCTGACCTTTTTCTTGACTCTGTAAAACTCCAGTTTTGCAAAGTTACCTCCAGTGTTTCCCAATTACAGTGTTTTGTTCTGGTCTTTGAATGTAAAAGACCACTGGCGTTAATGTGAATGGAAGTGCTAGAGSTGGGAACCAGGCTGGGAGCGTAGCTGGTGGCAGCATGGAGGCAGGTGGGGCCTTTGCTGTTCTTAGTGCCCAAACACAGGACTCCTTTAAACAATAGCTTTCACTGTGTTCTCTTACCCTGTTCTGAGAATTACTTTTCCATTTTAMCTAGTGTGTCACAAAAGTAGAGGTTTGCATGATACAAAGTTCTGACTGGCTCTGTGAAGAGGGAAGGCTGGGAGTCTACTCAGAGCAGAGCTGCACCATGACTTCTGCTTGTTGAAAATAGGAGGATTTGTATTGTGAGGTTCACAGTGGGAAGAGCTCAGAGTAGAGCCAAGGGTTTATAAGGCATTGTAAGACAACTCCCTTTATTCACTGGAAACTAGGTTTCGTTTGCTTTGACATTCCTAGAATTATGCAGAAATKGTTCTTTGTGGTATTGTTGGAGGTTTTTGTTGGTGGTTTGGGTTTTTTACCATCACTGCTTTAAGCTTCCTACCCTTATCTTGGGTGATGGTCCAGATACAGAATTTTCTCCCTTTCCTGTATGGACAAACTGTGTAAGATAGTAGTAGAAAGTAAACCCAAAGCAAAGCAATTTTCCAAGTGCTGAAAAAATGCTTGAAGACGTTAAATGCAAGAAAGTGTGGATTAGGGGGCATGTTTTGGCATGTCTTTAACATTTCAAAGTTCGATATGATGAGTAGTCTTTTGTGTGTAACATAATCTAATACCAGTTTGAGTCATTGCCGGTCAGGTTTTTATTGGTTCTTAGATKGTGGTCAGAACTTGTGGAAATGCAGTTATTTCTGTCTACCTCTTAGACTTCTGGTTATCACAGCAGATGGCAGTGTGATCTGGTAGGAGTGCATCAGAGATACTGCTGTAGTAAGCAAAGCTCCCCATGCCCTGAAGAGTACTGTATCAGCCTGCTCGAGGTCATGGTGTGGCAGCCAGCATTCCAGGGGTGCATGGAGTGGCCACAGTCCACACCACTCAGAAATGCACTGGTGATAGCATATAGACGGGAACTTGAATTCCTTTTGGGAGCAATAAAATTAATAGAAAACTAATAAATCAAGTAATATAATTTTATTATCCTTTTTTAAGTGAGTATAAACTAGGAAGCAGAGAAGAAAGTGTAATCAATGGAGAAGTGTAATCAATGACTGGGATRATGTCTGGATTAGAAGTCCTCAGTTTGATCTCACAAAAGTCAATATTTGGAGGGCATATGACCTGCTTACCAGTCACAGGACAGACAGCAACTAAAGTAATTAATTGTGCTATTGAGAATGGGGACTCTTTAATTGCCTGTGAGAAAGAAGCCATGRTGTGTAGTTCAACCACTTTGTTCCTCAGGGAGCTCTGATTGAACATGGCTAAAGAAGAAAGTGGTTTGTTTTTTTTCAGCAAACTGTATTGATTCTCCCTGCAACATCTTAGGGGACTGGAGTCCTGTGGGTTGGAAGAGAAGCAAGGCTCCATTTCCCTATATMATTTTCAAATGAGAGAGTGGTTACTGAGAAATGTTAATTGCGCTTGAAATATCTTTTAGAGGGATTTTCACGTTGTGGTATTCTGGATGGCCTTCAGTGTTGCAGACCCAGTGCTGTGTTTAGTCAGAGATTCATTTCTTGAGAGGCGGCATCCCAAACAAGAAGAAATCTTGAGAAACTTATGTTTCTTCAGAGTGATGGAGATGAGAGCATTCAGCCAAGTGTTGTCATGTACTGAGTATTAGCTGCATGTGGTATCTTATGKGGGATAGGTAAAGAGATCTCTGAGAAGGGCTACATCTGCGGTTAATGTCAGTGTTRCAGCTCATCCTGCTACCTGGTGTAAATATGGATCACATCATTGTAGATGTCACTGCTGTTTCTGTCAGCAGCAGTCTTAATATGTAGCTTTCAGATATGGCTTTTGACCACAGCTACCTCCCCCCAAATGGTTCCCAGAGCTTGTGCCCCCATTGCACAGAACTGTATATATCCCACAGCYCAACACAGTGTGGGTCCAGTCTGGCCTGGGTATTAGTCAAAGCCTTTCTTTCTCTAGCAAATATTTCTTTTCCATTATTGATAGAACATTGACCTTGCAATATGATTTCCAAATCCACAAGCTCCTAGTAAAAACCTGCAGCGCAATGAGTACATAGAAGAAATACCAGCAGTGGAGCTTTGTTGATTGAAGCTTGCTTGCCTCTACTTGCACAGAGTGGCAAAGGGCTCGAGGAGCTGAGTTGTCCCTGACCCTGGTGGATCAAATTATGCATTGTAAAGGCATGCAAAGCATGCAGCCAACCTATTCCTGAAGAATCCATTTATAAGACCAATGATGACATCATGGGTAAAAAAAGCTTCTGTTTTAATTGTGAAAATGTGCAGGTCAGCAGCTTACCCCTCTCTCAGGAACATCAGAAGCAACACGTCTGTCCTTTCAGTGGGAAGTTCTGCCGCACTGATCCAAAGCTAACTTGTCACTTGAGTGTTTACTTTCAAGGAACTTGGTATTTTCTCCCTCTCTCATTTTGCACTGGAGTCTTCCTATCTAGCCTGCCATGTTCTAGGCTGCCAATTCAGTCTGGTCTCAGTTTCCTTCCCCATGCAGCAATTTCCCAATGTTTTTAATTTTCTTGGTGAGGAACAATGGAAATTCTTGTATGCATTTAGCCTATCATGTATCAGTCATTATTRTTATTAACAAAATTGAGATATATTTGATGTAGTCTTAGAGGCAATGATTTTGTGGCTGCTTTGAAATGACACAAAGATTTTGACAATCTTTTAAGTAGGTTCTAAATTCTGCGCACTGAATAGCCTTGGGAGAGAGGGACAAAGGGCTTGAGCTGCTCCTTGTATCCCCCTGGTCTTTGTGGTACTTGGGCTGCACTGGGTGTGGCTTGTGCCTGCCTTGTCATTGCAAACAGGCAAAAGAAAATCTRTCAGCTGCTTCATCTTACAAACTTCCTTTGTTGTGTTTTTGGCGAAATATGAATGAATTCTAAATAAGCATAATACTTATTGAATAAATACTGAGCGGAAGAGCTACAGCCTGTACAGCTACAGCATGTACATCTGTACATAACGTACAGCACAAGGAAATCTGTCCTGCTTGTGTCAGGGTTAGACTTTCAGTTTCATCCTTCCATTTTTTCATGAACAAATKATTTGATCTGCTGTTCTGTTTCTGCATGAGGAAATAGGAAACTTTCTACTTGCAAATTCGTTCTTTCTAGCAGAAAGTTATATATTTAGCATGTGGCTTTACTTAAAGAAAAAAAAATATTCAAAATTACATTTTGTTATGGGGCATCATTTATACACAGTACTGCTTACCAGTGGGGAGTATCCTGTGATTTTAGRAACAGTAAGATGGATCTGATACCAGCAAACTCATCTGTTAACTGTTCTTCTGATCRAGAGTGACAAATTCACTGTTTAAAAAAGAATTTTATGTTATGTGGAAGTGGTACTGTGGAGATCTAAATTGTCTCAGTTTCAGACCTTAATGTGTGTAGATGTAACTGGCTTGTTATTCCTGCTTTAAGCCCCACAACTCTTGATAGTGAGACTGGATTCCAYCTGCTACCCTTCCAAACACCAATGGGCCCCAGAAGTCTTTGTTTGTACCCACAGAATCCTGCTGTGGGATTCTGTAGGTATAGTTAAGGGAAATTAAGAAAAAGGTCTGCTTGTCCTGAGCAAGGAGCATCCAGAACCTTTTACTCTGCAATTTGAACTGCTTTGTCTGAGCTTTCTTGATGCCAAAGCTTTCTAATGCCTATTCATTATAATGCCTGTCTTTCTATATGATTACACTCGTTTGTTTTTTTCATTTTTATTAGTAGTAGATTATGCCTGTGTTGGGATGATCAGACAAACTACAACTCTCCTACTACATTGGTAATAATATTAGGCTGTTGAGCCCAAAGTCACCATTAAGTCAGAGGCTGACTGTRCTTTCTGGAACTGGCAAAGTTTCTGTTACATCTTTCAAGTTAGATGSAATGTTTTAAAACATCTTGTTTGTTGCTGTTTTTTTTACAGAGTATGCTTCTGCTGGTTCACTGTTTGATTATATTAATAGTAACAAAAGTGAAGAGATGGATATGGATCATATCATGACCTGGGCCACTGACATAGCTAAAGGTAAGCAGGAAGAGTGGTGTATAGTACACTACAGCAAAGTGTATAGCTGGAGATGCTTTCCTTAGGAAGTCAGGAAAGCCTTCCTAGTCTTCCTTACTCAAATTGTAACAAATTTACAAAACCAATCAAAACATACATGCATAAAAAAAGCAAAATCCATTCACAATTCTTAATATGTTCCGTGTTTATTATGAATTCAAAATATTCTGGAGTCAAAATGGCTTCTATGAGGTAGTTCTGKTGTGCCCCTAAGTCCCAAGAGGATAATTTTGCTGATGTAGAGTGATTATGAGGTAAAGTACATAATTGCTGCTAGATTTGATTTGATTTGGGACATTTAAGGAAGCTAAGGACTTATTCTCAGCAGACATACTGAAATTCTTCATATAATAATGTAGAATAAGCTGTTCCATCCTTTATGTTCTCTGTGACYGACCACACAAGAATTAGTGTAAACTAATGAACAGAAAGTAAATTAATATCTGGCTTGACTGTGTAGACACCTCCTTAACTATATATAGTTAGAGAAAATAACTATATATGATGTTAAAAACAGTTAGCATATCCATGTAGATTATCTGAGAGATACGTGAACTTTGCTTATTGCTTTTTACTTGAAGTAGATTATGGGAAGTTCTGCTTCTCCTTCAGCATATCAATATGGCATACAGGTATGGCAACTCACCATGAGTACAACTAAYGGGAAGCAGGAAACATGACTGCAGATATGTGATGGTCCTGCTCAGCCTGTCTAATGAGATTGTTCCTTTGTTTTATGTAGGAATGCACTATTTACAYATGGAAGCTCCAGTCAAAGTTATCCACAGGGACCTGAAGTCCAGGAATGGTAAAGTAGAAAAACACTGAAACACTCTGCATTTACCGTTACCTGTTAACGTAGCATTTAAATCTRTGCCTGAGCTTTGCAAACAAGCATAAGTAACTAATGCCTTGGTTGTCATCAAAGCTGCACTTGTTGAGGCACAGAAGAGCCTGTTCCCTCCTCCCCATCCTGAGCCTGTCTGAGCTTTATTACAGATCTGGCATCATCTAGAGCATTATGGAGAGCTTTTTCAACATGTGTCTTGCAGCCATGATTCACCAYCTCATAGCTTTCAGACACTGCCTGGACACTTGTCACTTCCTTTTTCTATTAGGAAAGGTTGGCAGACACAAGACACAATAGACTGGATAAGGCCTATTATTTCTTATCAGAAAATCTTGTCTTTGCTGTGGCCTCTTGAGGTYTGACAGATATTCAGAGTGTTTGAGTAATACACGTTCAGTGTGGAGTCTATACTTAGCAGATGACAGCCATTTCTGAAATTTGCTGAACGTTGCCTTTTAGATGAAACTTCCACTACTAGTAGTGGGATAGAAGTGGCACAGATTTTAATAATGCACACAGGGAAATAATAGCCAAGAAACTTCTGGGTCTCACCTTGGTTATAGGCTTTCTCCTTTTATTAATGAATCTTCCAGAGAGCTTCTTGATAAAGCTACCTGTATTGGGGAGAATGAACTTCATCTRTGTTGCCCTCTTTTAACTCAGTAAGGCCTGAAAGGTTTTGCATTTCTTTGGAGGCTTGAGAGATGTTCCCTAAGCATCTTAAAGAAACCAGGACAGTTGTGCACCTGTGGACGTTCTGGTTCTGGCTCACCTCAGGGTCTTTGTCTTACTGGAAAACAAAGTATTTTGCTGTAAAAATACTGTACTGGGTTTATTTTTAACATTCTTGTAATGCTCTGTTTTTTCATTTTCAGTTGTTATAGCTGCTGATGGTGTATTAAAGGTATGAACACTTTAATTATTTGTAGAGAGACGGTGCTGCTTGACTCAGTGTTTCCATGTCTGATGAAGGAGGTTGATACTCCAATACCAGTTTAATTTTTTATTTATTTTTGCCAGATCTGCGATTTTGGTGCCTCCAGATTCCACTCCCATACAACACACATGTCATTAGTGGGCACTTTCCCGTGGATGGCCCCAGAAGTTATTCAAAGTCTTCCAGTGTCTGAAACATGTGACACATACTCGTACGGAGTGGTGAGTGCCTCATCTCACTATGCATTGTAGCAGTTCCCCAGGGTGACAGAATTTGTGTGGTGCAAGGACAACAATTCTAAATAAGAAAAACAAAAAACTCCACACTCCCTTTTAAGACTGACACATAATTTATAATTACATGCTTGAAAATGATAGGAAGAACATGGTATCTTGCATGTTTAGCAAGATCTGATTAGATTAGCAGCATGCCAGTGTAGGAAGTGCATGCTTTGCCACAAGTATTCAGCATATGTCCAAAGGTTTTCAGGAGCTGCTGAACAACCTGCATCTTGTATCTCTGCTCGTGCTTTTTTTGTGGAACCAAGGAGAAAAAGGTTGTCCTGTAATTAGTGTGCAAAAGGATGAAATTATTAGCATTCCACTTCCCCCAAAATGAAGTGTCWCTGATTTTTATTAAAAAGCCATTGCTCTATACCTAATTGTTTAAAAGATACTGCTATCGTCATCTCTGAGAACAGACCCCATCTTAAAATATRGAAGCCCAGTACCACTTTGCTGAAGGGTGAGGAATCAGTTATAGTTCATTAAGAATGTCAGATTTTTGGATTCAGTAATGTGAATTACTTCACTCTGTCCATAGTTAAACTCTAATTTAATTTKGCTCTGCAATACAAAGTATGCCAGAAATAGCCTTCCTGGTCAGATCAATTGTGTACCTGACCCCATAGTCTTTCTCTGGCAGAGGACAGTAAAGAGTACTTAGGGGGAAAAAGGAAAGGAAGTGGGGCTGTAGTTGCCATGCATATTGGTGTATTAAGTAATTTAGTGTTTGGAGTCAACAGTGGGTGGCAGAATGAGAAATTCTTCTGTCAAGTGTTGTCTCCTTCTCTTTGAGGGGTGGAAGGAGGTAGATGTGAGGAAGGCACTGGCTATACAATAGCTAAGCTAATATCCCAGTAGACGGTGACTTAAACTTTTTGCTGAACAGTTGTTTATGGTGAGAAAAAAATTTGAGACATGATGTGACATCACTTAACAATGAAAATTTGAAGGTTTGCAAGGAGCCTATATTTTCAGATTCATAATCCTTGCTTGCTTAACTGAACTAAATCACAAAGAGTAAGGAAACATAAGCTAACAAATGTAAATGTTAATGTAAACTGTTACTGGAAGCAATCACATATTATCTGCTGAAGGAAAACATTCCAGTTTCAAAACAGAATAACAGTGTTAGAGGAAAAATTCCAAAYATAGTCTTATAGTTCAAATTGCTCACATAGTCATCCTGGTTTGAATTGACTATTGGTGATGTTTTCAAAGTGGGAAAAGGTAAGAAATTGTTCAATGTCTTATCATGGCAAGTATTAACAGTGCCTTGAGAACAGTATGTTGTGCATAGTTTATTTTTTCTCATTCAGAAATTAAGGTTCCTTTGACATTTCTGTACTTGGAGGAAGAACTGAACTGCTCTCTTTATTAAAACACCTYAGTGTTACCGGAGTATTTTAACGTTGTTATGGGTGTGCAGTGCTACTTTAGAATGTCTAATAATGACCCATAGTTTTTTGATATATTATTTTTGAACCAGTGTATCCTGCTGTGGGTAGAAGCTTATGAATTCATGAGCACTTAGGAGTAATTAATCTTTTTATAACTCTAGTTTTGGAACACCATCATTTTCAGAGGAGATAGAGGGGTAGAAATGAAGAATGGCAGTGGCCCAAGTTCTCTGTAGCTGAATTTACTCATATAATGGGGTTATATCTGCAAGAAATGGCCTGAATATAAAACCGAAAGTTGGAGTCTCCCTATAAGTGTTACGACTATCAGAGMATTAGCTAGGGGTCTGAAAACAAGAAATCTGAGAAAGGGTATTTTTGTCTCTACAAGTTATTATCATCTATAAAAACAAACCCTTTTTRAAGCATAACACTTGCCAGCAGCTTTTGTGCTAGAGACAAATCTGCTTTACTTCAGTTAAAGTCCTCTTAACAAAGAACAGAATCCCTTTCAAATGTAAACTAGTAAGATGCTAGGAATAGATATTTCATTTGCAGTATCTGTCGTCTTCCCCATGGTTTTCTTGAATTTCCTTTCTTCTGTTTTTTTATCTGACTATCTTTTCTTTCTACAAACCAAACTGTGCTTTAAAATATTCTGCTTAAGCTGCCCAAGAGCTTTTTTCCACGAGGTGTTGAAGTCTTCCTGCAGTCTTATAGGTCTGAGTTGCTTCTCAGCTGAAATGAATTTTCCTCTTTGTGAATAGCTGTATACATGTTTATAGCTAAGGTTTAGATAAGCTTGTCCTGCTTTTCATGGATGGTTAAACAGCCCTATGTATTCTCTGAGGTACATAGTAAATAATTTATAATGCTGTCATGAAATGCTAAAGCTAAATTTTCCAGATTTATTACCACACAAAGACAGATCTTACACTTTCYTTCAGCCATGCTGTAGTTCTCTTTTCTGATCCATTTCTAAATCCATATTCTAAACAACAGAAACCAAGTGTTACAAGTTATCAACCCTGAAGTTGACTCTTATGTCATTGTATGTTGCTCAAAAATGATTCCTTGCATCTCTGCCAGATAGGAGAGTGCATGTGGAATGACAGTGTCACTCGAAAAGCTGTTTCGAAATCATGAAGACATATGCTCAGAATATGTTATCCTGGCAGAACTGTTCGTAGTGCACTCCAGTGTATGTTTGTGTATCAGTAGAAAAGCATTTAATCACAGAAAACTTACGCGATGCATCTGAATTATTTTATCACTTACAGGAACAAATAAGTAAAACCATTAATTGGCTATTGGTGGCATAGAGACTGCCATTAAATATAGCAGCTGTTCAAACATTGCTTTAGCTATGAGAACATATGTTATTTATAGAGGCAGTGTTGGCCAGCTCCAGGGGTTATCCCTTGCTCTTTTTGAAAAGAATGATGCGATCTTTAACTGCAGTTGGATTAATGCAGAGAAGACAGACCTAATTTTCATGCCTAAGGGCAGTACCTCTGTGAGTGCAATGCTAATGCTTATGCTGTACTTCTGCTAACTGTGGCTCCTGACCATTGTCTGTGAACAGTGCCCTATCAGAGAAAGCTTTTTTTCTTTTTCAATGAATATATTCAGAGTATTTTCTTTTCCTCAGATTACTTGGATGTTTCTCTCTCCAAATGGCACTTTGGATCTTTGTTGGCTTTGCACTGAATGGGGGATGGGGTAGTAGGGTTTTGGGTTTAATTTTTCCTTTGAGTTGTCACATAGTCAAAAGGATAAGAATTTAAATGCACAGCTGAGCTGACAGAAGTAAGTGTGTGAGCTTTTTCTGATGACCACATATTTCTTATTCTCGTCTYCATGTATAGGGTGAACCTTCATACATTTATCTCTCCTTTCTTTTCCTCTGTATGCTAAGATGAGTCCAACATCTTCAGAAGCTCCAGCTTAAAACCCACTACATTTAATGCCCTTGCTTTGTTTTTCATCATTGTTTCCAGCCTCGCTGTTTTCTTTGTGACCACCTGCTGTCCATCATCACAGAGATGTGATTTGATTGGGAAAGCGGGTGATCCTCACCATCATGGGTGGGAGGGGAAGTGAACCATGTCAGTCTCAATTAGATTATACTCCAGAAAAGAAAGATAAATTGATTTCCGTATGAAGTGAGCTGGGGAGCCGGCTCTGTACAATGAACAGTGTGTACTTCACAATAAGGAGGCTGGGGTAATTTAGCTTGAGGTTCTTGTCTGCTGCTGAATCACCTTGGGGAGAGGAAGAGGCAAATGAGAAGGCAGAAGGTACCCATTTGCTGCTTCTAAAAAGATTGCTGATGTAGTCATTCACCGTAGCTGATGATTCGGGGTAGCTAGTCTATGAGGTGGGGTTGAAACTCCTGTAAAATTGAACATAGAGACATGTCACCATTGGAAGGAAAGGCTTTATCTATACAATTAGCCTGAATACAAAAATTAAATTGTTTTTAAAGTGTTTTCTGTTTTCTAAACCTCTGTAAGTAAATACAAAGTTTTATAACATCCCACTTTTGTATCTTTCATTTTCATTAAATAGTAAAATGAAGGCATTAAGAAAAATCCTTCATATTGTGTCAGATTGCTGATTTTCTCTTCAACTGTGCAGTCTTGGAAGTTTTTAGCTAGCACTTTTGGTTTAGGGAGGCAGTGATCTGTCCAGGCAGTGGAAATAAACACTAAAGGTGTCATGATAAAGGAATTCGGTGCAAAATGTTCTGCACAAACACATGTGCATGAATGAAGCAAGACAGCTCTTCCAATTTACAGTCTTCTGAAAGAAAGGTAGCACAGCAATAGTTTTCCTGCTCAAGGCTCTTGAAGATATTTAACATGTATTTCATTATGTTGTCTTACTTGGAAGTTGTATTTTGATACTGCCCTATCTGATGTGCAAACTTGAGTTTTTCCTCTGTGGTTTCATGGTACAGTCACACAGATGAGGTGGTTCTGCAAGGCTGCTCAACCGCATGTTTGATTTGGTCCAGAGATCTTTGTTTTAAACTGTTTGTACACAGCTGGTTTTGTCTGAAGTACATGGGACTGCTAATTTTTTTCCTTCTCTCACAGTTAAATTTCCTTCTCTAGAAGTAGAGAGGTGATAATTGGAGTTACAACTGAGGTGCCTTTTTTTCCTTCTAAAAGGACTGAACTGAAGCTAACAGGATAATTGAATACATCTGTGATAGCTTTCTCCATATATTTCATATTCTCAGAAAAACTGTTCTTATTTTTCCAAGAYACCTTTACCGATCAGTCTTCTGAGTCAAGCAGAATTATTCAAATGGTATATTGCTGGAGTACCCTGTTCACTTGCTTGAAGGCCCAACTCTGCTGCATGTTTCTTGACCTCCATCTGCCAATATTGTTGCATTTTTTATCTAATTATCTTCATAGCTACCCACAATCCATTCAAAATGATGCAGCTGGAATAAAGCTGGGTATTAACCCAAACAGTGAGGATATAGAGACTTGCATAAGGATCTTAATGCAGTTGGCAAATCATCCATTRAAGATTTTTTTGGTTGTTGTTATACTTGATGTATGAGCAGTAGAAAAAGTTTGTAGATATTTGTAATAAGATATGTATATGAAGGTTCTGCTTTTAAAAAAAAAGGGACATATACAAGTGTAGGTACAAAGTGCTGTTARTTTGGTTGAATTCCGATATGTTGTTCCAATGAAAAAAACCAAATTGGATTCATTGACTTGAAGCCCTTTTGGTGATGCCAAATTCTTTTCTACAGAGTAGCTGAGATTCTTGGGCACTGTGTTACCAAAATGCTAAAAGCATGCAAAATCAGGAGATCTTTCTACATCTAAGGACAGTGTGTCTATAAAATTTCAAGGAGAGCAGAGTAATTTTTTGTATGCTGCATATTGCTTAGTTTAACATGATCATATACTCGGAGATAAACAATTACACTTTTGATTGCAAAATTATATTTTTATAGGCATATCAGAGCAAAATACTTTATGGATCATATTGACTAGTTGCAATCACATAGAAATATTTTTAAATGAAAAATCTGCAAAGCAAAGATATGTCTAGTTGGGGCTGAGAAGGAGAGGGAAGRGTTCATTGTCTTCCCAAGTCCCAGTTGCCAAATGCAAACTTTATAGTGTACAAAGATAGTAAAAAAACAACCCAGTTTTTCATCTTGGTGTATCTGTAGAGGAAAAAGCAGAAACATTTAAATTAATTTTGTGAGAGGATCTTGCACACAAACACTGGTCCAAGTTCTTGCAAATGAAAACTGGTTGCCTGGTAATTGGATACAGAGTAGTGCTATATCAAGGTTTAATAATGTATTTAAAATACAAAGTACAGAAATAAAAATTCTTTTCTTTTTTTCTCTTCCAGGTTCTCTGGGAGATGCTAACAAGGGAGGTCCCCTTTAAAGGCTTGGAAGGATTACAAGTAGCTTGGCTTGTAGTGGAAAAAAACGAGGTAAGACTACGTTTCTACATTCAGGTACATAGATCAGAAAACAGTATTGGGGTTTTGCAAAAGACTTTTTCATCTTCTTCAAATTGAAAGTAAGTTCACGCGTATGGAAAGATTAGCAGTAGGAGCTAACACAAAGGGTCAAAGTGATGTTATTCCTCATGAATGGACCCTTTACATCTAATTGTTGCAGCTTCACGTCGTGATGCTGTAGATCAAAAATTGTACAAGTACTGTACTAGTTTCTCAGTCTCAATTGTAAAACCTAGGGGTTTGTTCTTAGTGATGAAAGGAGCCATTGCGTCCAAGGTAGGGGAACAGTTTAACTCCATCTCCTGCGTTTAGGACATCTTTTTACTGGCCGGGAGTTGATATATCTGTAAGAGACCTTCAGCTACTTCAACTTAACTCTCCCAGCAGGAGTCACTATAGTACAAGAAACTGCCGCTTAGATGAAAATTTCAAAAATAAAAGAAGAAAAAATAGTTTTAAAAAAAGAGAGAAATTACAGTTTTGCCACCTACGTTCAACACTACATTGAAGATGAGCTCCTCACTGGTATCGGCAAGGCTGTGGCATAGCTGCAAGCCTCCTCATGCAGAGTCTTTCCATTTCAAAAGCACTTCAGTGGTGTAAACACCGTTTGTACAGTGTCCCCAGCCTCGCTTCTCTTCTTCTCACAAATTGAGGCTTTCAGTTAGTTGGACATGTGAGCRTATATCTGAACACATAGTCCCTTGATATCAAAGACAGTAACTACATTTAAAAAACATTTAAAGTTGTGACTGTACCACACACAGACAAGCATGGAAATCCTCCACAAAGATGAAACCTCCTCTATCTAGACACAGCGGAAGCTTGGGAAACATTACAATGGCGAGGCAGTGGCTGTACAATACAGATTTCTATTATTCTACATAAACTGTTTCTCAAAATGCTTCAGAGTTAAACAGAGGAGTTAGGTTTCCTCCTCTTAGTTTAATGTTTTTTATTGGTGTTTTTTTCCCTCTTTCTTTTTTCTTCTGTTTGAGGACTGGATTAATTCCAGTGAGTGAYACTGTGATATACCAATTAGTTGGAAATGCTGCACTAACAGTGTGAAGATTATGAATGTGGTCTTCTACTGCATTTATCAGAGCAGGGGGCACAAAGACACTCTTTCTCCTAGTTTAGGAAAAGCCTCATACATCATTTTGAAGGAGGAACCRTAAAGCCTTCCATCAACAGTATTTGTTTCTTGTGCCTACCACATGCAGTTTTATATAAAGGTACAGAGTGGCATTGGGAATGTTGTAAGAGGTGTAGTCACATGCTGAAAGATGTCAGAGAGTACAATGCACATTTCTCTACARTTTTCCAGAGAAAGGAATTGTGTAAAATACAGTATGAACAAAATATGGACATGACTATTTTACTCATGGCTGAAGAAACTTAAGGGGTGTCATTCTCAGAGCCAGCTCTTTGCCTGCTGGGTACCACCAGCCTGTTGGACCATTTYCCTTAGAGGGCGGTGAGGGAGCTTAGAGGACATTGCAGAACTTTTATTTTTTCTGGCCATGACTTGGGTAACATGTCCAGCATAAGCCTTGTAAAAGTCAGTTTGTGCTACTTTTCTTCTTAGTTTTCTGTGTCCCAAAACAAGTGTAAGGGTCAGGTTCTGCTCTCAGTTCAATCTGTTGATATCAATGGGGTTGTATGGTTCCAGTCCACAATAGGATTGTATCACGGTTGAGCCAGTCCTCCATTTTTTGGACTGCGAGTCATTTGTTAAAATCAGCATGGGATTGAGGCCAAAGTGTAATTGCATCAGGTGAAAAATCCCCTTTGCAAAGCATGATGCCAGTAAATGGAGTAGATTCTTACRTTTCTGTATGGATCTCTTTCAATACTCTGCGTAATTTTCACAGTATTATTTTTATTCTGTTAAGAGATTTTTTTTTTTAGCCAGAAAAGCAAAGCATGAGAGTTCAGGTTATGCTAGACATGATCTCATAATAAATTGCCACTAAGAAATACAGKTTTTTTTACAATATGACACTTGGCACCTGCTACCTTTGTATTTCATATTATATAGGTGATACTCTGCCCATATGAGACAAGTGGTGATTGCAACTGGTCATCCACCTCCTAGAACAGTGATGGCTACAGACAATACTACAGCAGGACTAACCAGTATATTTTTAGACTAATGACTCAATTAGAGATCAAGCACCAGTACAACTTATTTATGCATTGTTTGAATTCTTATGTATTTCTTGCACAGAAACCCTTGCATGTTTAGTTATGACATTAATAATCACTCTTCTGCAGAGCCCTGCCTCAGTATCATGTTTCTAGTTCTTACTGTGTTGAAATGCTCGTGGAACAGATTTTTTTAACTCTTACTTTTGGCTGCTGTGTCTTGTARGGCTTTGCAGGTCATGGAGCAGTAATGTAATGGTACCGAGTGGYATAACTTGCTCTGCTTTCCTTCTGAAATGGCAATAGTAGGGCAGATTAAAGGGTCTTCCTGGCAGCTTTGTCTAAACAGGACTGTAATACCTGGTTCTTGCCTCTTGGAGGAAAGGAGCCCTTTTTCCAGCTTAACCCCTCTTACATTTGGACTCATTTTCACAGAGTAACATTTTTAATCTAACTTTTAAAAATTTATTTATATAATATGAAGCATCTGAGGTCAGTTAACTGAGTTAGTGATATCAGAGGGATTCCCTTCAGTGTGTAATGKGGTTGGAAGCACATGCAGTCAACTGGAGAGGCTTCGGTATCTGTGTATGTGTATGTGAGAAAGGATTTGCTTTTAGGCTTTCCAGTCTGGAGACAGACTCTTGATGTGAAAATCTTCTAAGACTGGCTGAGTGAATTTTTTYATGGTTTAAAACTCTCAGCAAACGAAACCAAACTAGCTCCAAACTAACTCTCTGTAGTCTGTGGTCCTGGCTATAACCAGCAGCTCCTTGTCTTCAGTCATTAGGAAATATTTATGAGTTCACTGTGCTCTGTGAGTGCTTTACAAGATCTGCATGTCCTCATTAATCCTTCTGACCACAGGTTCATGAAACGTTCTTGTGTCACGTAGAGCTTCACTTAACTCTTYTTAACTCACTTAATGTAATGTGTATTTCAACTTTTTGTGTGTCRAAAGTGATTATAGCATTGTACAGCTAGATCATCTGTGTGGGAGAAAGGAATTAAGGCAAGCTGTACAYTATTCCTATCTTGATAAGCATCTTAAAATACCATGCAGTAACCTCCACAAACTGTTATATTTTAGTATTAAGAGCTGTTTGTCTTGGTTTTGCTGCCTCTCTCTGAGCTTTCTTAAGGAACTTAAGGAATTTGTGCATTTGATGTGTTACTCTCTTATAGTTTATTAAAAATTATTTGTATTTCTTGCGAGTATTAGTAATTTTAATTTTTCTTTCTAATATGTCTCCACATTTTTATGTTGTGTTTAACAGAGAGAATRTGTTTTAATTCTCTGAAATCTATTGTTCTTATAGGAAATGCTTAGTAGCAGCCTAAAGGGAAGTGCTTCTAGTAACTGGTACGTTCTCTTTCCATTAGAGATTAACCATTCCAAGCAGTTGTCCCAGAAGTTTTGCAGAACTGATGCACCAGTGTTGGGATGCTGATTCAAAGGTAATTAAATTCGTGTTTGATTTCTACACCACCACCTCAGCTTTGTTTTGCAAACTGCATTAGCATTTCTTTGGGGGACAGGTCTGAACTGACACCRCTGATGCATGCTAAAACACATTTCTTCACAAAGATACCCAGGGCTGTCTCTTTTTTCAGTAGGTTTATATATTTTTACCTAAATGTCTCTCTCTCCCTTTTAATGAAGAGAGTTACTATGAAGAGTTACTATGAGTAGAGTTTAATGAAGAGTTACTATGCTGCTAACTTACCTGGCTACTAAAAACAAYGACAGGGCATATGGTAAGATGGCAAAAATGAAGCCATTTTGGAGCAAGTGGAAAAATTGCAGTTTTTATTTTTTCTTTCAAAGGTTAATATTTAATCCCTCTTGGATGTATGTGAGCATCACGTTATGAAATACATATTTCAAGGTCAGTTTTGTGCCCTACTTGTGTTGAAAATTCAGTATAAGTAAAGAATAAATTAATCCATAAAATATGGTAGGAACCAAAGCAACACATTCTCAATGAACATTAACCCTTTCCTAATCAAGTCCTTAGRACTTGAATGGTGACTGTACTGTAATAATATGATAACAGCAGTACTGTTTAATCATGAAAACAGCATAAAAAGTTAAAAGCGCCAAACCATTGTCGCTATTAATCTGCTGCTACAAGGAGGGGATTAAATAAGTATTTAGACAGGAAAAAAACCTTTTGTAGAATATGTGAGTTACCTTCTTTAAATGGACTCTGCTACCMTCCTGTTCAACACAAAACTTGCTGAAACAGCCTGTGGGTACAATACCTTTATTAGCAACGATTAGCATCCATTTCCTTGGCCTATGAAAATATTTGAGACATTGAAGGATAGTTAAGCAAAGGAAATTGTGCTCTTATTCTCAATTCAAAGCACCAGGAARGACTTTGTTTCTTTAAACTCAGGAGAAAGTTAGCTACTTCAGACAGACCARGATTAATTCCAAGAGAAATTAGAGYATAGGTGCTCTAAACTAGAATTTATCACTAGAGAATAGCCATAGAAGAATAGTGTGAGAAAGGAAATACCCATTGTTGGTCTCCCTTTTTTAAGCAAGAGATTGCTTTCCTATAGAATGGATCTGGAACACKGAGATCTATCAACATGTGATTTCCATGTGAACAGACATTTAATTGCCATTCTCTGAATAACTCCTTGTATCCTCTCTACAGAAGGGAGGGGAGAAAGGTGGTTTGAGCTTTTGAATCTATAAATAGGCTGCGTAAGTTCTAGGTCAGTAATTACTGAAGGACACTTTCAGTGGCAACTGTTTAGCAACTGTTCCCAAGTGTCAGCATCACTACAAAAGGCCTCAATAAGAATTACGGTAACTTCTTTTCTGTAACTGTGGCACATACTAGATCAGCTCACTCTCTGCCTTGTTCAAGCCGCATCCATAAGTGTCCAGAGACYGTTGTTGTTTCTCAAGGAGAGGGAGGGATTTTCATTATGTAAAAGAATGATGCTTAACCATCAGGCTGAGTTCTCTGACAGAGTAATTTATCTGGTTGTGGGCTGGTTCCTGGGGACGTTGTTCCCAGAGGTCTCTGATACGTGCAAAGTGTGAATCTCATGTGAGATGGAGTTTTTCTGACAGTCTGTGCTTAGCTAATTTCTTTCGTGCAGCTCTTCTTCTATCAGGCAATTACAAATACTTTGTTCACGTGACTGAAATGGAGTAATCCGTGGTCACAATTTGGGCATGTGACAGACTTACTCAGTCACGTGTTGGGAAAGGATCACTACTTAGCTCTCAAAATGCTTTGATAAAGGGCTGTGTGGCCTGTATGAGCCAAAAGATGGAGCACGCTCCTCTGAAATACTGCTCTGTGTAACATTCTCTTTTTGCCAGGATTAGCTTTAGAAAATCASATCATTGATGCATGAAAAAGGTCAAGCAGGGGTGAGCTTGAGCATGTCAGCTGCTCAAAAGCAGTTCCTAAGGTGCATACTTTTAGCCCACAGAAAGCATGAGATATCTTTTGGTGGGTTACCCCTCAGAAATGAAGGATGTGTATTTATGATGGGGCTAAGGAATACACTTGGAGAGCTGCTCCAGGGCAGCTGGAGTATCAGACACTGCTCACACTATAATTTCTTCATGGGAACAGACAGTTATTAATGTTGCTTTGAATTCTTAAGAATTTCTTCATACAAGGAAAAAAAAAAACCTGTAGTGCATTGCTCTATGTGATACTTGGAATGGTGGTCTTTCTGCAGTTTAAACTGCTGGATGAAACAAACAGTTCATACCTTAAAATTTCTACCAAACAAGTGATTTTTGCTTGGGTATTAGGTAATTGTAGAAACAAGGTTGTTTATCTGTGATGTCTGTGTTTACTGGAGTTACCTGCTTTTAAAACAGGTGAATAATTCTTTCTTATTTCATCTGTTCATTCTGTTTATCCCCACATCAAGGATGTTTAGAAATTAKGGAGTATTTTAATAGAAATCAGAAATATGGGAACAGAGAAGAAGGAAGAAATGAAAGACATATGGATTAAATATCCTGGTTTTATACAGACCTRTTCTGTAAGAAATAGTGAGTGGAAGGAAACAATGAAAACATTAGCCAGAATTATTTCTAGAGGGGCATATATTTTAAAGATTTCAGTATGAGACATCACAGATATAAAGGGAAACAGTTTTCAAAGGCAACTCATGCCTTGATATTTTAAGAATCCCTTATAAGGACTTTCTAGAAAGTGCTAAGCAGTTATCCACTGAAAAGAAGACTTTTTTTGTTTAAAGTTCCTCAGCTCAGGCTCCCAGTTTCTCAAATCACTTCTTGCCAGTTTTAACCAAGGTACCACTGTGCACTTAGAGTGCATTTGTTAAATCTGAAATTGTTCTCTCCTAGGGATAAGGAACCAACAAAACCCACAGGACAGTGTAGGCTTGTGTATTCTTGTCAAGCTGCAAAGCTGGCAGGGTAGCTGCTGGCTGTTTGCAGAATTTGCACAGCCAGAGATGTACAGTACRTTGACAGTACTGTGTGACTCTGCATTTGTTCCACCTCCAGCTGCACAACTCAGCAGCTCCTCTGCCTGTAAGGTAGCACCCACCAAGCATGTGTTGCTGCKTCTCCCAAATCAGTCAGTAGATCTAGTAAAAGCCCTGTTCTCCGTCATTATCTCCACTCCAGTTACTCCAGGCAGGCATGACAGTAGTAGTGTTGGCTGTGCTCACTTAGTGTCAGCCCTGCCCTATTCTTCCCAGTATATACCCAAGAAAAAGAGCAAGCAAAACTCATAGAAGTGTTTTGTTMATTAATCCTGAATAATCCATAAAATATTGTAGATAATGCAGCATGGAAATGTTTGCCCTTGGTGTCATCCCAAAAATAGAATTTGTTTAGTACAGGCACATTATGTACCTGCCAGTCTGTTGGACAGTGCATAGCAGTTGCAGTACTCTGCTGAATTGCAGTGAGCTGCTGTCTCCTGCCTGGCAGCTTTCTCACTGGTTGGGAGGCCCTTGAGTCCCTTCAACAGTTTGCATCCACTGGTGTGGTTATAAGAGATGAAGCTGTAGCAACAAAAAGGCTGTGGAGGCTATTGAAAGGTTTTTCTGCCCTGTAACTGCACTGGAGTTGCTGGTGGTGTCACGGATGGATTTTGGGTTCTGTGTCCCTAGCGCAGCCCACCCTGACAGGTGAGGTTTGGGCTCTTCCAGGCTGTGTTCAGAGSATCTGCTCAGCTGTGGCAAGTGCAGCAGCATCATGCACGTGGAGGGGAGGACGGCTGCCTCCCCAGCTCCCCGTAAAGGCAGCGTGACCCTGCTGGGTTTCCACACAAGGGACTATCACCAAGTACAAATAATGTGCTGTGGAACCAGTACCTGTTGCCATGAATCTCAGCATGCCCAGTTCGCTGCTCCCGGCATGTTGGGCTGAAGACCAAATTGCACAAGCACATGGGTGGCTGGGGCAAGCATGTCTGTTGCAAAAAAAACTGTGTAGCTCACTGAACTGCCCATTGCCTGAAATCATGGAGATGGACCAAAAAATGACAGAAAAAGCCCCCAGTTACAGCCAAATAGTGCAGCGTTACAGTATAAGAGAGCTTGTCTTTTTTTTTGTTATGCATTTGACACTTTTTCATGCTGTTTGACATTTAAAATAAAGAAATTGTCTTTCTTTTATAATGTGGAAATCACTTGGATCTTCCTGAGAGAGACACCTCAGCATTGTTCCTAATTGTTTTTGTGCTCCCAAATTAAAATGCACGTTTTAATTGCGGCATCTGTAATTTTAGCAGAAATGGTATAATTAAAGGCGTGATAGAGAGAGAATGTGCATCATCCCCTTATTATGTATCTACATTTTGTTTCAACCTTTTGTCTCAACCTTGTCTGGGGTCTGTCAAACAGACTAACAGAGTCAGCGCTCTTTCAAGAAACACATTTAACTGTGGCTTTTTCAGTTTTCAGTTATTATCCTACTTCATAGCTTCCCCGTGGGACTAAGGGAAAAGTAAAAAATACAGAAAAGTTATAACTGTTCTTTCTGACTTGTGRGCACAGTGGGTGCTGGATGGAGAGCCCTGGAAAAAAAAAGTCCAGTAAATGAGCCCAGCACAGAAGAGTAGAGACACCGCTGATGTGGGCTTAGCTGCCAGGCAAGACATCCTTCCCTAGCCTTAACCTTCACTTCTTCCCCAGCTGCTCCTGAGGTAGCTAAGCGAGATTTTCTGAAAAGCATCTCCTTTGCAAGACAGGAACTGCAGCCAGAAGCCTATTATTGATGGGCAGCTAAATGGCTTATTCACACACTGAAGAGTTTGTGTTAAAACCTGTGAAAGGCCATCTGTACAATTACCAGTTTCTTAAGGGCCAACCTTCTGTATTTAGAAGCATTTTCCCTCTTAGCTTGAAAAAAAAATCTTCTTTCAAATTGAGAATCTAGATGATTATTTTTGATTCTAATGTTTAATGCTGTTTATCTTGTAGGCATGGGAGACTGAGCTAAAAAACTCTAGTCCTACTAGCCTAGGTGACTCTACACAAACTGACCTTTTCTTTAATGGAAGAACAAAAAAATATTTTACAGACTTACAGTCCTGTTGTAGGATGTTGTGGCAAGAAAGAAGTGTTGCAATTTCTGTTAACTGTGGGGTTTCAGTTGACAAATTCCTGCAGATAGTTTTAGTACCTATATGTGAATGCAAATGCTCTGTTTTGGTTTTCCTTTTCTTTAGAAAAGACCATCTTTCAAGCAGATTATTTCAATCCTGGAATCTATGTCAAATGACAGCAACCTTCCAGACCAGTGTAACTCATTCCTGCATAACAAGGCGGAGTGGAGGTAGGTTTCCTTCTTCAAGATGAAATGGTATGAGTGGTTTTTTTCGGAAAGACACCAGACTCCAATGATGTACTGTAGAAAATATGTGTGCTTGAAGTATTTTTAGACTGCAGCTTACCTTGTTGTTTTTCAGGAATGCCTAGAATGTCGCGAAACTTGTATTAGGAGCCAATGCACTTAGCTGTACCCTGTATTTATTATTACACTGGTTTAAGGCATCATTATATTTATGGTTTTGTGATTCACATCTTAAAACCAATTACAAGTTTTCAGTCAGTGTGGGGACAAAAGAACTCAGATTATATGTAGGTTTGRTGCAATTTTCATAGAAAAGTGTAGAGGTGGTGTTAATATTGAAACCAAAATAAGGTAATGGGTAAAAAACCCCCTTCCAAGTCAAGCCTCTGTTTGTCCTCACTTGTATATGTTCTGCCAGTTTTTATGTATTCTCTACTTCTTATCAACTGGGTGTCTACACATCCAACAGCATATGCCAAGCCAGTCCTGTTTTTGCATAGCACCCCAGCATTGCTTAAGCATATGATTTTAGCTRTTGCTGATTGTAATTGTTATTCATAAGTGATCGTAAATGGAGATGAGATTTGAGAAAATTTTATTATTTTATAGTTTTGCAGTAAGACTTCCAGGCTCTTTTTTGGTATGTGCCAGAACATCAAAAACTGTCCCTGAAGCTTATTTGTGGGTTAGAAAACTTGCCGCTTCCAAGTACAGCCTTCTGTTTGAGAAGGGAAATTGAAAGCAGATCTGCACAGGGAGATGATTTTTGCAGACGATCGTGCCTCGGTCTATATTAAGAAGCGTTGTGCCTGCRCCAAATAAGCAGGCAGCAGAAATGCTGAAAGATTCCCTGCATCGAAGAAACCGGGACGGGGTGGAGGATAGGGAAGAGCACATGGAAATAGGGCTCGTGTCAAGCCCGGCAATCCCGCGTTTCTTCCGCTGCCTTCCAAGGAAAGGCAAGACGTAGAATTTTAAAGGGGCGAGTGGAAAAAGTGAGCTGGCGCTGGGACGCCCCCGGTCACACGACGGGGTATAAATAGCCCGGGCCGGGCCGCCCTCGCTCAGCCTCGCCGGCCCCGCCGCGGCGGCGGGGAATGCGCGCCATCTGCTGGCGGCAGCGCCGCACTGCGCCTCCCGCGCCGCCCCCGCGGGCCTGCCTGGGC